GACATCGCCTGGGGAATTCTGTGAACCCGACTACAGTTGAATCTCTCTTAACCCATAGCTCCCATAACCCATACTCCCCTCTAACCCTTAGTTTTTGGCTTCCACCGAGTTGGTAGATAGTAAATAACCACTAAAAACCCATAACTCTCCCATAACCCTTAACCCATACCTTTTGGGGTGGTCAAAACCCATAGTTTGAGCTATTTTTAGCCCTATCAGATGCATATGTGTGCCCATTTCGGAGCCATTTACTATTATTTTGACCCTGTTTGACCAGGATCTCACTAGATTAGACCAAAAACACTGTTGGTATGGTGCTATATACCCATATGTAGCATAATAGAGGGTCCGGAGTATGCCGGGCAGGCCCTCGGTTGTCACGCTCCCCGCCAGTGTCACAATAGGTCACACTCTGGTAACCCATACTCCCTAAAAACCCATAACTTTGGGGTTCCACCGACCACTATAGGTTAAGGGAGATTCGACTGTACCTCAACCGCCTCTGATCGGCGGTCATGGGGTCCTGCTTGCATAATCACCTCTCATTGGTCAGGAGAGTGCTCTCGCGGCGATGGCAATTGCACGGCGACCTTGGATTAGATAAACCTGACAGTTCAATAAATTACAGGCTATTTTCAACGGATAATTCTGATCAACAACCCCCCTGAGAGCAACAACCCCTCAGTAACCCATGCCATTATCCAGAAACCCTGGTTGTCCACCAGTGGTCACATGTGACATCAAGCTCTACCAGTCCATTGAATCTGGTTACTTGGACTTCACTCTATGTACATAGCTACATATAAAATTTTTGAAAATTAGGCTGAGGCTCTCCCAGTTAGCAGTCAGAAGCTACTGCTGACCATGGACCATGCTGCATGTGATGCAATGCATTACTGTACGAATGAAGGGCCCACTGTGACCACAAGTACCAGTGGCAGATCTCCATCCAGTGGCCTGAGACTTAGCCTTGTGACCACCCTCTCGTAGCCTGATTGAGGGCAGAATCAGGCTAGAGAGGCTGGTAGATTTGTCGTGGGAACTCGGTATACGCGACTTAAGTCGCATGCCGAGAGCCAGCCGTGCAAGCCGACACAGCCAAAGACCACCGAAGGCTGCCGATTGTAATGGTTGTCGGGTTTTGTAGTCGAGTAATAAAAATTTGTAGTTGAGTAGAACCGTTGTAGTCGAGTAAGAAACGTTGTAATCCCACTACAAATCGCGGTAGCGTGACCTTGATGTGTCTAAGTCCCACTACGCGTAAGGATCAGCTTGCCTCCATGCTCACCTCCTCATATTCTACTAGCTCCGTATAATGAATATAGCTCGTATAAACTCTCTTCTGCATGAAATTGGATGCCCAGTGGGGAGCCATCGAGAATGTGCAGAGCGGGCCAGTATTTCCTCCGCAGTGTTGGGCATCTGATGTCTGTTAGACATTATGGTCAGAGATGCAGATATGTACTTGTGGCGACAAGCAGGCTGAGGCAAGTGTGCTCAACAGATTCTAAGTCAAACCCGCGAGGATCGAATCACATTTGTAGACCATTTCTTACTCGATCTCGATCGTCTGCAGGGCAGGCTCAAATACATGAGGGCAGGCTTAAAGTACATGAGGGCAGGTATATTTTACAATCTCAGCTCAAAAATGACAGCAGCTGCTG